GAGGTATCTGGCAGAGATGTCTCATACTATTTAAGTAAGCAGACACTAATTTAATTTATCTTCTTATTTTCAAAAGATCTGCATTTATAAAATGGTGGTCGCCTTTCCGATAAATGTCAATACACCCATTAATAACATTGTAATCTAAATGTAGAACAAATAAATTCTGCGAATATATTTTTTTCATCGACTGTACCCAGTGTTGTGACTCTGTTAAAATTCGAGTCGCGCCCCAGTCCGCTTGCTTTATGTCGATGTAATTTAATTCACTAGAGATGGGATGCATCACGTGCATGTAAACTATAAACTGACCTAGTTTAAACTGACTTTGAGTTTATTTGTTTAAAATACTAAGTGGGAGTTTATTTACAATTCAATATTGAAATATTTAACTAAAGTAACTATTTTTATTTATTAAAACTAATATAACAAAAGGGATTCGTAGCAAGCAGTTAAATAGCCATGGATGTGCCGTTATAAATATTGATAAAAATTTGTGTATCTGGTTTTAAAGTCTTAATAAACCAAATAATTGGATATTTAATCCCCGAGACGTAAACTAGGAACATTCTGTTTTTAGGCGATTTTAAGAAATGGGTAAAGAACATATTGCATTAAGTACACCCATTCTACATCATGTTGGCATAAACAACCATTGTGTATTGGTTTATTTGACTAATTGTTAGCATTTAAAATTTTAAACCTTTAACCAAATTAACCCATTTGCCCTACTAATCAACTCACAACACTGTTCCATTAAAATAACCTAGCATATTGCATAACAACCATAACATTGTCGACGATCGATAACAAAACTATCGACACTTGCACGTCTCTATACTAAAAAAGCATGAATCGGTGCTCAGGCGCATTCTGTCACGATCCTCGTGTTTTACTTACCACTTACACCGACACGACTATATTGAACGTTTCACTAACCATTACATTTTTTGTTCGCATTACATTCCACTTTATTTGAAATCAAAACGCAGTGGGTGCTTAAAATTGTTGATTGTCGTGACATTAAGTTGAAATGTTTAGTTAAGTGAAGTGATTTTAAACTCGTGGTTTTGTAGAAAAAGTTTGTTGTTTTTTGTTATTTTATTTACTTGGTTCTTTGTTAATATAATATTAGAACTTGTATTACAGCCTATAAGGCTTCATTGTTTGAGGTGAAAAATTGTGCCTGGGCTCCCGGATTTGATTCACGTGGCGGGATGAGTCTGTGACATTCACAGATATATTAAAGTTCTGTGGTGACTTTGTACCTCTAGATAATTGAATTATACAAAGATCAGTCATAGAACTGTTTGTATTGTAACTTTCGTGAGACATACTAAATAAATTATTATGTTTTCGGCTTACTTACGTAATAATTTGACGAGGAACTCGACTAGTTTCAAGCCACGCTAGAGGCTCATATTCATGTATCTCATATCCTCATATCCCAGAAGCAGCGCGACGGGCGCCGCGTCGCGGGTCGCGAAATGCTGCTCATGAATATGAGCCTCTAGCATGGCTTGAAACTAGTCGAGTTCCTCGTCAAATTATTACGTGAGTTAGCCGAAAACATAATAATAGAACTGTTTCTTTGCGACATGAAAGAAAGAAAAACAGAGACGTCCTTTCACATTCTTAATGTTAACTAAGAAGTGCATTTAGAAAAATGAAAAGTCTCACATTTGACCTAGAAAAAAAGGTTCACGTTTTATCATAAGCGTCCGGGTACGATTCCCAAGTTAGGCAAGTATGTTGTAAGTATGACAGTACAGTTTTATGTCACTTTGTTATATAACAATAATGGCATGCCTCAATGGTCTGATGGCAGATCTTTATGGAACTAAAGTGTTTGTCAACATTGTGTGTGTGCTACTTACGTACGATTCGCACGTGAGCTCTTGAACTTCAAATTTCGCACTTAGCACCCACGTAATAAAGTTGCGGTTAAGGTCAAATATTATTTAACGTATGGTAAATAGTATTCAAGTGGTTTATTGTACGAGTATATTAGTGAATTAGTACTTACGTTGTTGTATTATCTTTTGCAGTTTTTGCGCTTTTTATGAAGGTTTTCTTGCGGTGAAAACCGGTCAATGGTTTTAATGTACCGACTTATTGAAGGCAACCGCAAACAAACGGATTGGAATGATGAGTACAAATTAGTTTCAGACTATTGTGTAATATTAAATTACCGACTGAATTATCTTGGATTAATCTAGTTACAGCGAACTTTTTTATATTAGCTTGAATATTAAATTAAATGCTGCCACGTTGGTCTAGTGGTCGCAAGTGCGATTGCCAGGCCGGGCCCGGGGTCTCGGGGTCGATTTTCGGGTCGGGCATAGTATTACTGGGTTTTTAAAAATTATCTCAGTAGTAGCACGGAGTCTGGAATTGTGCCCAGTATATGGCAATAGGCTAATCCCCTATTACACGGGACTCAACATAAATAATGAAAAGTGGGTCTTACATACTTACATACATTACAAGCCATAATGTGTACATACCTCTGCCTACCCCTTCGGGGATAAAAAATGTGATGTTATGAATGAATGAATACATAATTAAGTATGACTATTAATACCTAAAGATTAATTAGCATAGGTGTGCGTATTAAAGGTTTCATCTTCATAGATGGAACTCTGTTGAGTTGTTGATAAGTCTGTTGCAGTTTACATCACCCCGCGTTTTCATAGGTAAACGCAACAGACACAACAAACACTGGACAAAGGTCTACAAAGAATTTGGAAATACAAAATTCCAATAATTTTTGTCCCAGACCCAGAAATTGAAACTGACAATTTTTATGTCGACTCTGCAGTCGCATTTACATCCGACCAATAAGATAACTTTTCATGTGTCCTGTCAATTAAACACATACGTAGCATGTTTCTCCTATATGTCTAACTCAGTAGGATTTATGCATTAGAAAGCACATTAGGTACAAAGTAGCCTAGATCAGTCTGAATCTAGGACATCACTTATTCTACCTCTAGACCAAATAACACATGCATGCGGTTTTATACACAAATTGCATTTCATTACTCGCCTCAAACCCCTTATTAATTTCTTTAACGATTTAATACCCGCAATGTATATTACACATTTATTAAATTCCAATTTTCATAATTAAAGCAAACTTTTCTGACATTTAAGGCCTTGGTAATAGATGCGTATTTTGCGTGCGTTAATTTGTGTGGACATCTGAACGTTTGCAATTGTAGCTAATTGACTGCGTTCCTGACCTTTGCTCACTTAATCTAAATAGTTTGTTACTTTGAACTAAATTATGCGAAGTTAATGTTATATTCTATGCTTCATTTAAACCTTGTTATATTAGGAAAGGTCTTGCTTAAGGCTTCTTATAACTTCATAATCTCTTCTCTGATACTACTGCTTAAACTGAAGGATAGTGTGTAAAGACAATAATAGATTTTGGCCAATATGAATAAGTAGCTAATTTAGTCACCTGTTGCATGAAAAATTGAACTTTACTTTCGAAATAAGATGGAATTCCATTTTGGACTTGAGCTGAGTTAGTACCTCTTGGAAAAAGCATAATAATTGTAGATACGACCTGATTTACTTTACACAACTAATCCCTACTTCGATTAACCCACATAAAACTTACGTAGCACCCTTCCTTCAAACAAAAATTGCTAAAACTTCCTATCAAAGTAAATAAATCATAAAATCACAACAATAACTTGTAGAGTTGGCAACTCCTAACAAAATTACAACTGACCTACTGAACCCAAGTGTTTTGACCAATTACCACTTCTGGTGGTAATTTCGACTGCGATGGTCATTAAGGTACATGACCCTGTATGAGTATAAGTACTGATAATTATCTTTGTGGGTCAGGTCCCTTTATGCTACGGAGTTCTAAACTTAAGATGTATTTCGAGGTTGTGTTTGAAAATAGTGACCCTGATCTTTTTGTTATAGCAATTTGTTGTTTGACGTCTGTTTGTGAATTCATGAATGAATGTGCTATGTGTTTTTGGTGTAAAAAACACATATTTATTGTTTTTTTTTATAAAACATTGCCCACACTCTATGAAGTTCTCGTGTGTCGTGGATGCGTTTACAAACATACAATGTCATATACACATGACACCCAGACCCAGAACAAAAATTTGTGTATCACACAAAGAGTGGCTGTGTGGGGGAATCGAACTCCACGCCACGCCACGCCAAGCCACCGCACCAACCGTGCCGTCAATTCAAGACTTAATGGTCGATAATAATCTTTCTGGTTTGTTTATGTCGAAACTATCGAATAGAATTTTCATAGGAAGCTATTTGTGATATAGTATGCAGAGTAGACAAATATAACAAATAACAATTAATTTCACAAATGAAAACAATACTGTAGTTTACTATTTTTTTTTGAACAGCGAAAAATTACCGTCGTTTATTATTCAATACGTACCTAACGTTCATTTTTCACAATATACCTAGCGTATATTATATCTAAGCACACATCACAACATCGTTATATAAACAGTTTCCCATGAGTATCTAACGTTGTGAACTATTACGATTGCCATGTGCAATTTATTGCTATTTTACACTGAAATTAACACTACGTCTCTCGTGAGATTTTTTTAAATAATTATTTGTATCGCTTTTCTCGAGTTTACTTCTTATTTCATAGGATTTTTTTTTATTGAATTCTAATAACCACTGCAAATAAACTCTATGGCAAAGATGAAGTCATCTTTGTCACTTGTAACTCCTATGAGTTACAAGTGCGTTACCGGCCATTTAGGGACTAGGGATTGAGGGAGGATTAGGTTTTGGCAACCTTTTGAGTACCGTCATTATAGACACAATTAAAGAACAATAGGTTGCGGTCACCGGTGTCCTCGCGGTGTTTGACAGTTTAAACTGTGTAAAGGTATCCAAATTAATTCTAAAGCCCATCTTTTTTAAAAACAACAGCTATGATATAAAAGTATGAAAGATATTAACCTTATATTTTGTTTAAATTTCAGGGCGAGCCATGACAGGATGGAGATGAAGCAGAGTTGAATACAATACTTGTAACGACATGTTATAAACATGGAATCGCCAGTGAGAATATGTTTAGGTAAGTTCAAAAATAACAATAGTTTAATACATAATAATTTATTGGACACACAATTCGAGTTACAGATAAACGAATGTTAACAAACAATGAGTGTTACTGAAACTTTAAATTACAATTGTTAGGTAAAAACAAATCCAGTAAGAAACTAGTTACTTTACAATAGGTCCTTAGCTTTTTTATGAAATTAATAACTATACCATATTAATGATATTTAACATTCATACAAATAGATGACATCACACAATAACTGTCATAAAATAATACATTATTAACATTAACACTGTTATGTTACAGGTGCAGCATTAGTAGTGAATTTACTACTGTTGAGCAGCACAGCAGTTAGCGGCAACGCTATACCCGATACGACATCTACGACTGTCAAAGATGAGAGGGCGCCACGGTACGGCCGTGTCAACGGCACCTGGCTTGCGAGGAACCGACCCAAGACTCCAGACGTCTCCCTTAACGAACTAAACCCTAAAGACTCCACCTCTGAAGAACACACAGAAAAAAACGCAAAATACAAGGACAGGGGAAGAGTACGATTCAACGCACAGATCAAATCTAGCTCAGAAAGTCCAAGAAGAAGAGTAAAATCTACAGAAACCACCCCCAACTTAGTAATAGTAACTCCTACGCCAGAAGTAAAAAGACCCGCGGAAATTGTAGACAGTATGCAAAAATATAAGAAAACAAAACTGCCAAATTTCATTAGCAGTACAACTCCCTTTAGTGTGATTAGAGAAGTTCACAGTGAAGAAGTTTCCGAGGAAGAAATGGAAGCTGAAGATGAAGAAAAGGAATCTTTTGAGAGATTCACTTCTGGAAAGTTTGATAGCCCTTTCTTTACTATACCCAGTTTTAACTACGGAAGTGACTTCACTCATGACTCGGACAACGAGAGCTCTGACAATAAAGTAAAGAATGAGTACAGTAGTCCGACATACGGAGGCTTCTCCAGCTTCTACCCTCGTGAAGCATCATACGGCTACAAAGATACAACTCATGATATATTTAAATCTGAATCTTTCTTTGATTTCGACTCCGAGTTAACGACGCCGAAAAACGATTACTTCGACAAGAAGTTTCAACGGATCTCTTCAAGTATAATTAATAATTTAGATACTATGAAAGCTAAAGCTACTCCTTCCAATACGCCTAATATCCAAATTATAAAGGAAAATATTGGTATGGAGAAACTAGGTAATAATACGCCGACTAACAGGTCGTCAGTCTTTATTAAAAACACCAAAGAAATTCGTCTCTTAGATAATGATGGTGCTGATAGTTCCAAAAAAGAGTTATCTGATGTACAAGGTACAAGTATATACTATGAAATGTCTGTCTTATCCACTGAAACTTATGCTATCACTCATGACGACGACTGTGATAATGAATCTGTACCTGTACCGACACCGAGTACATCCGCAGAAGAAGAATTAGCGTCTGTCAACGCCTCAAAACATCCAGTGCAAGCAGCGACTCGGCCGCCACTGCCTGATCCTAGCCCTGAGAGTATATCCGTATCACCTACTAGTTATCTGCCTCTATCTAGTGGGATACCCCTTATAAATTCAATAAATTCTATTCCAGTATCTACTCAAAATTCCATATCATCGACGGAAAGAGTAACTAAAAAGTTTTCTAGTAGCTTCAACAGACATCGAACTTATTCGAAACGTCTTAATATAAATAGTAATAATGACTCTCCTAATAGTGTGACACCGAAACCTGATAATGTAATTCTTTCGACTCCTAGTCCAAGGCTTGCATTACGTAAATTCCATCATACAACTCCTAAAACGAAACCTATTTGGATGGTGCCAAGACGAAATTTTACCAGACCATACGTTCGACCAACGAATCCTACGACGATATACTCTGAGCATTTTAGTGTGAAAGAAAAGACAACACCTCAATCGCGGCAGCCGAGTCGGACAATGTTGACGACAGTTTCTTCAGATATCGATCCTGTACTACAAAGCGAAATAAGTGGAACTAAGAAGGTGGTGCATTCTCAGTCTATATCTGATAATACAGTTCCAAGTTTGTGGAAACGGGGTTCAACTAAATTCGCATCGTCAACGGCGTCCTCGACTGAAGTTGAGACAGAGAATGAGACGGAGAGTGAGTGGCAGATACCTCCAACATCGACAGCATGGGCTCTAGCAAGTCTACGCAGCCCTCCACCTGCACCTGGATCAGTGAACAAAACCTCGACACAGAAGAGCGTCGATGAAAATGAATTGCAGAAAGTTGGAGAAGTTTTAGGTGAGTAAATATTATATTAATGTGTTTTTTGAAGTTTAGGAAAAATATACTTTTAGGAAAACTATTTATTTGTTGGTATGTGGGCAAGGCTGGTATGTACGGAGGTAAAATTGTTTTGTATTCAGTTTATTATTTATGAAAAAAATATATGTATACAAAAACAAGTTTAATTGAGAACTGAATCATTATAAGAGTATTAGCTTGAGTATAAGTCAATATTACATAGTTTAGATACGAGTGATGAGATATTTTTTAATCGACTTCATATATTAATTAGGATAATAACTTATGTTTCAGACAAAAAAGAAATAATGAGTACAACCACAACTTCAACAACAGCGAGCACAATTAGTAACGATATCATTCCAAAGAAGGTCACAGAACTTGAGCAGAACAAATTACCGTGGCAGCCTATATTTGCTTCAACTTCTCCAAGTTTTGAAGTAAAAACAGAAAGCACAACTGAGACTAAATCCGATTTAAGACTACCAGCTGAAAGTAATATTTCTCTTCAAAGTAGTGAAAAACCAGCCACTACAGATAGGTCAAATTCTATTGAAAATCAAACAGAAGAGTCTTGGGTTTCCGCAACAGTTGAATCAGAAGCATCTACGGATAAAAAGACAATTCCACCAGTTGATACAACGAAGTCAACTGGTTTTGAATCAATTACGAAACTACCAGCAGATGTCACTACACCGCAAGATGAATCTGTCGCTAGTTCGGAACTCAACCAGATAGTGACTGAGGAAAAACCTAGGACTACTACTGATTATGAAATTACTACAATTAGATTTTCTTATGTACCAACTGAGACGGTTGACACTGAGTCGCCTCCCATTCGCAGCACCACACCTAGTATGTGGCATCCTGTTTTCCCGACTAGGACAAGAATAACTACTATAAAGGATAGCCCTGTCACTACATACAGACCTAAATACTTAACGACGGAAGTTGTAGAGGAATCTACAACTACTATAATTGAAACTACATCACCTATAGAAGTTTCGTCTCAAATATTGGAAAGTACTACGAAACAGGTGGTTGAAACTACAACTCCAACGGAATCTCCTACGACGACGACTGATATTCCAACTGAAACTTCTACAACTATAGAAGTTAGTACTCAACCTACAACACAAGAGGTGACTACTGAGGTGACTACATTGGGAGTATTATCACAGTCCAGTACAGTAAGTCCGACTGAAGAGACCACGCCAGCAGATACCACTCCAGTTCCATCAGCTGCATCAAGTACAACCAGTGAAATTGAAGACACAACGACAATAGTAGTAGAAATCGTAACAGAAATAAACACTGAAAGAGAACAGAAAATTTCTACATCAACAGAAACATCAGAAACCACTGAAACATCAAGTGAATCACAAGAGACTGACTGCACTGAAGAGAGTAGCGGTAGCAATGAAGTTATTACTCAAGAAACTGAGAAACCTGTTACAGCTCAAATTACAACTGAAGCTGTTACTACAATTCCTACAACTGTTGTTCCCGTGACGATAATTATAGAAAACGTGACGACACAGCTTACTACCACGATGCATGATACCACGATGCGTGCTACCACGATGCGTGCTACCACGATGCCTACTACCACGATGCGTGAAGAAACGACAACTCAGCAAAATGCAAAGATTCACGATACAACGGTTGTTATAACAACAACGGTGATAGATGATGCTATGAAAACCGGCAATGGAATAGATGAAGGGACAAGTTACCCAGCAGAGATGACTACTGAGGCGTCGTCCAGGGTGCTTGGTGATGAAGAGGATAGTGGATCAGGAGCTGCTGTTGCCATCGCAGTCAGTACTATTGGAGTTATCGCGCTGATACTGCTCATTGGATTGCTGGTAAGTCTCATGATTTTTATTAACATACCTAATTATTCTAAGCAAGACAAACACAACATGTGTAAATAATACACCATTACTTATATTGCATCTAGATGAACCAAATATTTGGAGAGACAGTTCTTATTTAACTTGCACACAAAGTTAATTTAAAAAAGAAAAAAAATGCTTAATCTGGGAATCGAACTCAACATTATAAGAACGCAAAAGATGCATACCGAATAGTACAATTCTACAACATTAAAAAGATAATAACAAATGTAATAACAAACGTGCAATGAATTACAAACAAAAATCAACACGCATACACAAAATAAGAAACACATTACTCTTCTTTTCTTCATTCTTCTCTTGTCTTCTCCTATTTCTTCCTCTGTTGAATTTTCGTACAACATATCCAAAGTAATGAGCATAATATCTATTGATTTATCTCACGATAAATTACGTTCACTACTTTGGAGAACGTTGTAGATTTTACTTCAGGAGACGTATCTGCTTCTTGCCTGAAATGATACAGAATATGTCTTAAAATTTTGTTTAAATATCGATAGTCGGGAAAAAAGGTCTTCGTGTTCGAATCCTGTGTTGATTAAAGTATTAATGGAGGATTTCGGTCTTTCGATACCTCTATTTTCAGTAATAGCACGGAACTCAGATTTGTGTACAGTGTGATATCACAATATTTTCACTTGTATTACGTGGGACTCGTAACATAACTGGAGAAAGGTGGTTGCTATAATGTGCACCTTGCCTTAACCAACTCTTCATGGTGTAGCTTATATTCAACCACTATTTAAGTGCACTCACTAAAATATCAAAGCGATGAATATGTCGAAGTGAAGAATATACATTTCTGAGGGTTTCGCCCCTCACTCGATAATCGTGCTTGTGGCGTCTCGACCGGTGCGAAAAGTAATTGTGTTTAATAAAAATATTTTATAGGTTTTTAATTTGTCATATAGAATATAGTAATGTGGTTTTCCTATGCATAATTTAATGTAATTCTAGGGTATTCCTAATTATAAAGGGGAAAAACATTTATGATATAATTACCTCGAGCCTGTATGTAGGTCGTGCTGCCCTCTCACGCCAATGTAGCTACGAAGATGCAACTGAAATACATACAAATCTATATTAAATAATTATGAAAATAATATTATTGACGCATGGTAACTGACCATGCTGATTTAATTGTTGAATAGAATAATTTTATTAATAGTCGTAGGTTGTGTGTCCTTAAGTGCGACTATCGAACAAGGGATTTTGGATTCGCTACCCGGAGAGACTATATTCGGTTTTCGAAAACTCTCATTAGGCTCATTCGTTATAGTATAGGACTAATAAAATAACCATTAAAATGTGACCATTATATTATATGCATTTCTATTTCTGCATATCCTTGCAATGGCGACAGGCTAGGCACGCTCCTATGATTATCTTAATTATTTATTGACTTCTTTAAAATATTCATTTAAAGTTCAAATAGACCCGAAAAACATCCCATGCAATCTATTGGCTACACGATGCTCTTGAAGTGTTGAATACATAAATCGTCACAGGCGTTTATAAGTGGGGCAATTATATTTTGAAGTATGTTTATTTATGTTCCACTAGCAGAGAGAACTGTTAATTAACACAAGTATTTATTTTTTACTTTCAACCAAATTGTACTAGGGCAACAAAAACTCATAAGAGCTTTTAAAACAACAAGTGTACCACCAACGGTTAAATACCTGTAGATAATCCTAATATCTCATCGGAAGTTGGTCTCGTTCGTCGCGTCTGGCGATAAAAATTCCTTGGTTTGCAACACGAAGCGGTCTAATGTGGTCACCCGACACCGAGATACGGTTATCGTTTGTAACGAGAATTGGCATACTTGGACGGCCGTTAGATATGTCGGTCACAAGTTTCGTGAACGCTTCTTTACTTATGCGCTCCTGGTACTTTCGATTTTGTCTCCTTGATTTACATGAAGGATAGAATTCAAAATTACAATGAAGTGAATGAACTTGCTCATGTTTTTTATTACACAATGGACAGTATGTAAAATTCTAATGAATTTAGTTAAGTTAGGTACTACATTTTATTTTTATCATCCAAAATGTAGGAACTTAACTAAATTCATAAGAAAATAATAATTTCCGTTGCTATGAAACATTTCAATGAACTCTATTTAATTAACGCCCATGTACGCGTCAATTTATTATTTGTAATTTATGTTTTACAATGGATTCAGTTTTATAAAGTTACATACTATCATAGTCCTTGAGTTCGTACAAAAAATGGTTGTTACTTTTAACGATTAAGTAAGAAAAGAAAATTACATAACATAACATCACGCCTTTTATCCCCGAGGGGGTAAGCAAAGGTGCAGTTTAAACCACTGTAGAATGTAACACTCACTTTCCACTATTTAAGTCATGAGTCCCATGTAATAGGGGGTGAGCCTATTGCCATATACCGGGCACAATTCCAGACTCCGTGCTACTACTGAGAATTTTTATAAAACCCAGCAATACTTTGCCCGACCCGGGAATCGAATCCGAGACCCCTTACCCGGCAGTCGCAAGAAGATTAGTAATTCTAGATCCAAAAATTGTACTAAAATAAATGCTTAGTTTGTGTAAAAATAATTGAAAAAAAAAAGGGTATGACGTACCTGAAAGAAGTGATGCAGATGGAGTATGGAGTCACACCTTCAAACCTGAGTACAAAGCATTTTGTGTTTCTTCACACATTTACTGCATGAAAAAATAAAATATACCGAAATACATAGAGCATAGAGAGAACAAAACAGGTAAAAGAAAATATTAATTGACAAAATATGTCTCTTAATTCAAGTCAGACTGTCTTAATAATGTCTTAATACTACTGCTATTCCGTTGCAGCTCTATAATAAACTAGCTACTTCCGCGCGGTTTCACACACTCTGCTCAGCTCCTATTGGTCGTAGCGTGATGTTTTAAAGCCTATAGCCATCCTCGATAAATGCACTATCCAACACAAAAAGAATTATTCAAATCATACTTGTAGTTACGGAGATTAGCGCGTTCAAACAAACAAACAAAAAAGAAATTCTTCCGCTTTATATAATAGTATAAGAATACTTATTTGTAAACTAAGTTATTTATTTTAAAAACATGGTATAGAACAACGTAACTGGTAGATTAAGCTGGACTATAGACGTTGTTACGAAAATATTATAATTTGATAAAAAAAATAAGGTATGCTATAGGTAGGCTGCAGGCTTCTTGTATAACACTACTCAACACTTAAAAAATATCTGACCCAATTCATATTATTTCATAATAAGCTTGACCAATATAAAAATACTGTATGCATTTTATTTCGATATCACATCTGGTTATAGGGACAAATATTTTTTTATTTTTTTACCTACCTACAAAAGTTAAAATGCGGGTAGTCCGGAAACTTATTACTTTTGCAAATGGAACATAGTGCAATTGTTAGTATATTAACTGACTTCTAAAATGCAGCGAGTGTGTGTCAGTCCAGATTTATTTTGCTATATTTGTGGCGAGTTTACGCCGAAATCATAAGTTTCCTAAGCTTAGTGACGCGAAAATTAAAGAGGGTGTTTTCGTAGGTCCAGACATAAAAAAGCTGATTCAAGATCCATCTTTTATATCTGCTCTCAATAACATTGAAAAACAAACATGGAAGGCTTTTGTCGATGTCACTAACAATTTCCTCGGTAACAAGAAATCTGAAGATTTTCGCGAAAAAATAAAAGTTTTATTGGACTACTACTATAAAATGGGATGCAATATGTCACTTAAGTTACATTTTCTCCACTCGCATTTGGACTTTTTCCCTGAAAATATGGGATGCGTCAGTGACGAACATGGCGAACGCTTTCACCAAGATGTTGCTGCATTTGAAAAGCGATTTCAAGGCAGATGGGAGCCTGCTATGCTCGCGGATTACTGTTGGAGCCTTATTAGAGACCCCTGCTACTGAGTACAAGAGAAAAGCCAGCTACTCCAAAAAAACTACGCCATTTCAATTAAAATTACAATAAAATTATGGAAAATTCGTGATTTCGGATATGGATGTTTATCTGGACTTTGAGATGTGATGGTGTGTGTATATTTGCATATTTTTATAATTTTAGTGGCAAGAAATAGTAATCACATAATGCGACCTCAAATAAAATCAAAAGTTGAAAATTTGTTGAGTAGTGTAATCTTAAATCTATATAAATAAAAATGATTTTCTGTTCGTTAGTCTCGCTAAAACTCTAGAACGGCAGAACCAATTTGGCACATTTTGGTCTTGAAATGTTCGTAGAAGTCCAGAGAAGGTTTAAAAAGTAAGATAAATAGGGTTTAGGCGGTACATAGTTTGCCGGGTCAGCTTGTCTAATTACATCTTGGTTAACTAAAATAATTGAATAAGTTCTGAAAAAACAACACCAGAAGCTGGGCATTGGAACTCACTAAAATTAACCAAAAACAATTAATTTTGTCTTCATTATAATAAAATTTCTTAAGCACTCAATGAGGTCTTACATTTCCGTCCGATTTTAGGAAATAGTGACGGTTATGTATAACCTCGCTATCTACATTAGAAAAAAAGCACGCTATGTTTTAAATGTTCTGAAATGGACTGATAAATTGTACAACAAAGTAATAAGTGGAACTAATTCAACAATGTTATAAAAACATCAATAATAAAGTAAAAAGTAGATATTTACTACAACCCTTGTGTAGAGACAGCTACCTAATCACCATTTGAAAGCATAGAATCTAATTTGAGAGTATAATTTCAAAAAAGGTCAGCCTGAGAAAAATAACAAATATTTTCTTTGAGTAAATTAATGGTAATATGTGATTTTAAAATAAAATATTGTTTCATGGATTCCGAAACGAATTATATTCATTTTCAAAAAAAAAACTGCTTTTTGCAAAACTAGAGGATAGAAATATTTCAGAGTATAAAATCGAACAAATAAAGAAAAAACAAAATAAAATAAAGTGATGCAAGTACCATACTAGGACCTAATATCGCAAAAACCTAGGGCAAAAATCAAAACCTGAAATGCAAAAAATTAAATTAAAAAACTCACCAAAAATTCAGCCAAAAATAGATCTTGATGCACTAATAAAATAATTACGTAAATAATTGACAGTTACGCAACCGACATCATTTATTGGAGCATTAAAATTAATTACTTATTTCTATTTTTAAATTAGAAAAAGGAATAAGGTACTGGCATACGAGGTCGGTTGCGCACACGTCGGCGGGTGATACGTCACTGCGTACGAGTCGCGACTCGCGCGCAGGGCTTATAGTCACCGGGATATTGCAAGTTGAACCATGCACGGCTATAAGAAAGTGTACATTATTTCATTTGCAGTTTATTCAATGTTCAGGGTTGACACAAAGGCACCACAAAGGCACATTAATTTTATAAATGTGTAATTACTCTATAAATACAAAAGTATAATAGGTAAAACTTAAGCCTACATTTCATTTTACATACATAATTTCCTTCCTACTGCATTATGGGTCTGTATAGACAAACCATACACATTTAGTATATTTTAATGAGAGTGAATTAAAGCAAAGGAAGAGGACGATCGAAAAAAATATGGAAAGATTAAGTCACATGACATGAAACAAAAGAGAAATGTGGATGCGACGACATTTAATATGGAGGAATAAATGAAAAAGAGAGAGAGAGAGAGAAAGTAATTTGGGATATGGTTAGAAAAATACCGAGAGAGTTTCATAAAAGCAGGCATATATGCACGCACCATAAAAAAAATTAAATAATTATTATGATATACAGGAATATAATTAGACAGTACTTACTAGTAGCTATACTAATATAAGCTATGCTCATAGTAAGCTGTAGATGTCGCCAGTATAGCGGCGCGGAGGATGTTTTTACAATGCAAATTATAAACAAAGCCAGCCCGATGATGGACCTTTGGTGTGCGACTCCATTCACGCATTAATACGACTTTAATAGAAAATTTTATCCTTGAAAAATGTGATGCCGCGAAATACACCACCTTCTACCATTTTGGGATTGTATTTCTTTAAAATTGCTTAAGATAGGGAAATATATTATGCCCTAGAATTAGTTCTATGCTCACTCTCTACTAAGTATCGGACACTGACTATAAATTCTAAATAAAAAATCTCGTAAACCCGTTAATAAAAAAAAAATAAACATTAACATTAACGTTAGTTTTAATACCAATATTAATTTATCAGTGAAAAGATTCCTTCGAAATTAAACGCCACCTGATTCACATAATAGTTTCATTGCAATCATTATTATGGAATACACATCTAAATTAGTTCCGTATCGTATCACAACCACGTGTGTCAATGGACATGAGCAGTCCCAGGGCCTCATAAATTAAGGTCTCAAGTGGACTGGAGCGGGCCCTTGAATTGGCCACGTTTTAACACGTCGCGTACCTTTTGCTATGAGTGGCAATTTCTAATTATTACTTCATAGAAACCTTATCAGATGCTGTAAGCACTTTAAATTTTGAGCAATCCGCTTGGCTTTTTTAAATTGCTCTGTTCTGAAATCAAAAACCCAAATGGGTTTTTAAGGCAATTTTGCTTTGTTCTCACATATGTGCACAGTATTGGAATATGTATCAGAGATCACATTTTTTTTAAAAAGAGTAACGAATGGAGTTTCTTTCTCGTTCTTCTCCAATGAATGAGCACCTAGCTTCACTGAAGAACTGACTGAAAGACTATTATGTATTTTGTATTTATTGACGTTCCAGTTTTAAAAGTACCAAATTAAGGTTTAATTGAAATAAATGCTTTGAATTTGACCTTGAATAATATCTCCCCTTTTCTAACGAGATCGGGCTATACCTAACTTCGATAGATTCACATGACTGTGACATTCTTAGAGTGTATTCTTAATTGTAACCGTTTGTGAGATTTATAGTTTTGTTGCATTTTATTGGCATTTACTGCAAGCTCGGGTCTTTAACGGGCCAGTAATTCCTCTTGTCCATGGGCGGCACCGATTGCTTACCATCAGGTGATCCGTCTTTTAATAATGATTGTTATTGATCACATAATTGGTAATATAACCTAAATTATCATCGCAAAGTAACTTTTTCTTCTTCATATTTCCTTTATTTTATTGCCTTGCCGTACATTGCTCTCGATGCAAGTGCGTGAACTTTTAGATTCTTAAAAGTATTGTTACTCGTTTTATCGTGGAATTTGTGCTCGCTGTGCCGGTGCCGGCGTTGTTATTTTATGTTCTATAGGCGAAATAGGTTTTTATCCTAAGCCGTACACGGTACACACATACATAGGCTCATGCTTAGATTTAAGAGAGTTTACTAAAAAGTAATAAAGTAAGTACTTTGAAAGATAAAAGGAAAGTGGATGATGAAATAGGTTATAATTTAGGTAGAAAAGAGAGTAATTAACAATACAAGAAATTCTATTTCGAGTTTTATGTAACTTCATCTTGATCATGAAATTACAATCGTTGATTTTACGTTAGCTGCAGAGAACCGCAAGGGATCCGAAGCAGGTGTTGGAACGGGGTGGCTTTTACTTAGTAAAAGTCTCACATTCCCCCTCACTTTACCCAAGGCTGGAGGAGCGATTTGATGATTTTCACCCCTCAAAAAAAACCGTTAGGTTATTATAGGTATGTTATATATATATTATAACATACCTACAACCTTTGTACATAAAGCATACATAGTATAGTTATGTTATAAAGCATACATAGTATAGTTATCAATGGCTATGAATGAGAAGTCTGTCTGTTAAATGTGATGACAGTTCAGAGAGCCAGCTTTGAAACAAAACCCGACGTCCTGTCGATAACAAATTGTTTATACTCCAGTGTTAGGATAAAGATTTATTCTATACTGTTGATTAGGTACTATAATTATTATATTATGTGAAAGAAAGTCTTTTGCGTGTTGATGATGATCTAAATTGAGTTCTGTTTCATACGTTTTACTTTGCCTTATTTGTGATATTCGATTTTTTTTTTATAATTTTGAATTCGGATAATTCTTAGTAGCAATAATGACGTAGGTACCTATAGGTACATATATCTTTTCGCCTTTTGTATACCTACCTTAATTTTAAAACGTGCACTGCCTCCCCGGTTTACTTTGATCGACGACATTCGTCGAGATCTTAAGATCAGTTTTGAGTGTGTACGGCTTTTCTAATAGATGTCACTACACGTCTATTAGATACAAGTACGCAATAGTTTTGAAGATTTAACTGGTTCATACGGCTATACAATACGCTCATCAGTTGAGCGCACTACTTCGGCATCGCAGTAGTTCAGAAGCCGCAACATTGTGGCAGTTTCTTTTTCGAATTTCTTATTAGTTACTTTTCACATCACTCATACAAATCTTAATAAAAATCACTTCATAAGAATCGTCACTAGTTCACTTCATTTACTAAGATTAAGGGCCTGTTTCACAATATCATGATAGCTGTTATCTACCAGATAAATTTGAATTAAGAACGTAACCTACTCATGGAGGTAGTGAAACCGACGCTAACCCTTAGTAAAATAACGAGCTTTAAAAAACGAAATCTCAATTCTATTGCGATCTGCAGTTCTTTGTCTATTTATTGTCGTATTTTCTTAATTTCAGCTGGTGGTTCGTCGTCGTGGTCGTCGTGGTATTTATGCCCAGCGCTGTACTCCAGTCTCCCTGGACGCTTACAGCCTGGACAGCGTCAGCGTCGGCCACAGGAAGGGTAACCACCGTCTCCGAGCCAGTAAGAGGAGCTACGGGAACCCTGCTTATGATGACGAGGTAGGATTCATGTCTAACCTTATATGTACGACTAACTGAAAACGAACTTCGTATGCGTTTTCCTAAAATTTAAATACCCTATGTGACCTCTTTGTACATACATTAGGTACTTGCTTACTTGGTAAGTCCCGTCAAAATAAGGTCTGCCATTTCAGAGATTAGCCAGTACAAACAGACAGATAGGCAAATAAAAATATTAAAAAGTATTGTTTTATTATATGTCGTATGTATATTCATATGCTCACTCACATCCACACATATTCATACACTCACACAAAGTACACATTTATATTTAAGCATTATGTTAATTTTTCTTTTTGTACTGTTTGTTTGGGAGCCTAGGCCTCACGACACAGGGAAGTCCAGGATACAACGAAATTGTAAAACTTTTCCTTTTTGAAAATAAACATTATTATTATTATATAGTAAAATGCGGTTAGTTCAATATTGGAAACAGACACTGTAATTTTATTTATCTGTATAGATTTTCCGACTAAAGCCATTTACTTTATTATTTACAATTATCCTTCTTCGTTCTACTTCCAGGTCACCTCCCATCCAATGCAGTACGCAGCTCTAGCAAATTTTGCGATGGACATAGAATCCATGACCGCAGAGTTCTCAGAGATCCCCTCAGTGACTGTCAGACCAGATGAGGTGCCTCCAGGCTGTGAGGACAAGAACCGATACTCCAATGTCCTCCCACTACCAGAGACCAGGGTTCCTCTGAAGAGGCTCGGCAATGATCCTACTACAGAGTACATTAATGCCAATTTTGTTACGGTAAGTTCTATGTAATAGAAAGTTAAGCAAAGAAAGAATTTTATTTCGAAAATGAACTGGATTATAACATTTACATAAGTTCCATTATGTATGTACGACCAAACTTATTGCACGGATTTTGGAAAGTTACATCGTATGAATTCACTTCTAACTATTTTTTCAGGAATTAAAAAGCGTGGCACTATGTACTTCAATTGTGACATTAGTAATCCATGCTCCTACGCATAACTTGAAGACAAAGTTCATAACAACTAAATCAATTGTTCTCGAGGCTTTCCAACGATTAGTCATAGATTCAATAAGCATGTCTAATGCTAGGTTCTAAATAATAAGCTCACATTCCTATGAACTAGTCATAGAAAATTACACATAACCGACTTACCTTATATTTCTCAAAGAACTCTTTCTTTGCACGCATCTCATATGAGTTGTTACCACTTTTTGACAGATATACTAGGAGTTTTATCTAATACAGTGCGAGCTTATTGCTATACACCAGGTCAACCAGGTACCATTCTACCTAGATACTGGGCTATTTCTTTAATATCGACAAGCCCTTTAATGTTTGTATTGTAACTTTCGTGAGACATACTAAATAAATTATTATGTTTTCGGCTTACTCACGTAATAATTTGACGAAGAAGTCGACTAGTTTTAAGCCATGCTAGAGGCTCATATTCATGAGCAGCATTCCGCGACCCGCGACGCGGCGACTGTCGCGCTGCTACTTGCTTGAAACTAGTCGAGTTCCTCGTCAAATTATTACGTGAGTAAGCCGAAAACATAATAATTTATTAAGCCCTTTAATGATTCAAAGGTCTCTTGCTCAGCAACTATGCTTGCTGCCATAAGCCACAACTTTTGACTAACGATTTGTTTTCATATAATTTCAGGGTCCAGGCAACATTCGTAACTACTACATAGCAACTCAGGCGCCGCTCTCTAACACTGTCGTAGACTTCTGGCGCATGATATGGGAACAAAACTCGAGACTCATCGTCATGCTCACTGAGTACATGGAGAATGGAGTTGTGAGTATTTTTCATATTGTTAATTTGGTACACACACACACGTAACAATTATTAATTACACTATAGCACCTAATTCCTTACCGGAATCTGTGTTTCCCGACAAATATAACTTGGATGTTTTCAAGTCCTGAGATTGCTCATATCTCCATCGTCGGCCACATCATCGCTTACCACCAGGCGAGATGGTGGTTAAACGTCGACCGATCAAGTACAAAAAAAATCCAAAAATTGTGATGAGAGTATCAATATACTATCACATGTAGAAATTAAGTCGGTCAAAAAGCAGATAAAACAGAGCATAACAGTTCATTATGTACTTAAAGTTGTTTAGTAAAATATAAACACGATAATTTCTCCGTTTGCAGGAAAAGTGCTACGAGTACCTTCCACCGTCCGAAATATCGGACAACAAGCGTATCTTCGGGAACTTCAAAATTATCCTGAAGAAGCGAGAACAACGTGACAAGTACGCGATATCCAGCGTCCAGCTCATCAACCTGGAGACCAGAACCTGGAGGGAGATCACACACCTTTGGTACTTCTGGCCTGCTAAGGGTGTCCCTGATGACTACGACTCTGTCATAGACTTCCTATGCGAAATGAGAAGTTACATGAAGATCGCGCAGACAGCTAAGGAGTATGATGAAGAAGGTAAATCCATAAAATATTAGATGTATCATAAGAAACATTCATGTTGTTGTACGGTGCATACACTTGCAAAGTTGTTGAGATTGGAGCGCGAAGAGAAAAGATTCACTTAGATTTAGAACGTTTAATTGTGTTAACAATAAAACTGTTGACGATTCCTTTCTCCAATGTTAATCACCGCGTTGCAGTAATTGCACTCACTGATTTATTATGTTGTATCGGTGTATATGTATAGAAACAAAATATATATATACACGTTAGTCATTTTAGGATTGTCCTATTTGATTTGTCATGTTTTTTTTTATTTTCTCTGTAGCTCAAATAAAGAAAATAAGCATATTGTTAAAGATTTACGATCTAGTATAAATCCGGTTGCTCTGTGGTTTTTTCGTCTGGTCAATTTCCTGCCATCATCATCTCAATTTGTTTGTTTGAGTTTAAGTTTCGATAATTTTCTTTCTGTTATTTCAGGGGTGGAAGTAATATACGGTGATCAGAACCGGTCTTCCTTTAGTAATCTATCGAAGCTGCGGAGTGATGAGGGTGGCTCCGGTAATGGTGTGAATGTGTACTCACCAGCTCGTGCTGAGGAGCAGTTGAGAAGAGTTGCCCCTACCAATGGCACTCTTGGAAGGATGAAGGCAGCTTCTGAAGTTGAAGGTAATTTTAAAGCGTGTTCTAGTTTAAATTTAAAAGAGAGTAGGTATGATCCAACGCCAATCGAGCAATTTTCCAAAGATTGGAATTAGAAAAGATGAGTTTAAAGATTGGAAAGTCTCGCTAGTCAAGCGGACCTACGACATTTTCGTGCAGTGTTCGGTATGGTGCGCTAAGGGGGGGGGGGACCTTTTGTTCTATAGCAGACGTCTTCTGATGTCGCCATAAATGACGATGTATAAAAAATATGATTCAGATATTACAACAGATGTAACATGACAATAGGGTTAAGTTCTTAAGAATTCCTATGGTTTCCTAAAGACTAAACTTGATACTTAATCTTCAGGTATCCGGCCGTGCGTGGTGACATGCGCGTCAGGTGCGGGCAGGTCGGCAGCGCTGATGGCGCTGGACGTGTGCGCGCGCGCGCTGCCGGCGGCGGCCGACGTGCCGCGCGTCGTGCGCTCTCTGCGCGCGCAGCGACCGCACTCACTCTCCAACAGGCACCACTATATCTTCGTCTACAAGGTTATTACTTTTCTTCCTTATAAATATTTATATTTTTTCCAGTGGTGCTATTACGTGGCTCTTAGCTGTTACTGCAATGAGATGAAAATGTGTCTCATGGGGGTAGGTAGAAAGACTGACTCTTCTAATTCTGAACAGCTGGCGTGAATTTTAACCATTTTGATTCGTTATACATTATTGGTTTAACATGGTCTAATAGATATATAATTTGTTTTTAAACGAGTGTTTCACTGCTTTCAGGTGCTAAGTGAATACGGCAACAAAATGCTAGGCGGTGGTGTAGACACCATCTGAAACCACGGGCTTCCCCAGACGTAAGAACTTTATTCGTACCCATGACAACGCTGGCATATGTATCTCAAACCTAGTGTATAGCCAGCCTTAGTTTAAAACTAAACTATTTGGAACATACCAAAGTATAAGTTACAAGATCTCTAGAAAATTGATCGCTCAAATAAAAAGTAATGAATTAAATGAGAAATTATTATTTTTTTAATATCATTATTTTCGTGTTTAATCTGTGGATTTATTAGATTTATACCATTAACGTCATCCTCATGACAATTTCGCATAATTTTAAATTTTAACGAAAGTTGTACATAAGATTATTTTTAAGTTTTATTTTTTGTTCGAACAATTTAATGTTTATTTATTTTTAGGGAATCATTCCACTAGTCTATCGATATGTCGGTTTTCCTAGGTAACGCGTTATAAGCATAATTTCAATCACAATTAATAAAAATGTATGTAAGCATCGTTTATTGAATTTTGCTGTGATTTCTACTAAACTCTTAGTTTTATACTAATACTAATATTACCATAATATATTTTAGTGGATTAGAGAAAATCTTTGTAGTAAAATAACAATTTTAACTATGCATAACAGTATTATCTAATGGCAACTCTGGTTAAGCTTGACATTGTTTGTGTTGCCATTTCTTTTGTTTTGCATTGTTATTTTGTGCACTAGCAATAATGAAATAAAAATACTCTGTGCTACTTTTAAAAATAGTAAATGACGTAATTATCAGGTGGTATTGAAATATTATATTGTTAATTTCATTTTTGTTTTGTATCGTATCTATTTATTGTTGAATATAGTTGTTAATTTGTGATTCAAATGTTTTATTTTTCCGTGTGGTCTCCATACACTTTTTAATTTCATACTATATAATATTTTCAACTTCAGTGTCACTTTGAATGATTTTTTTGTTTCTCTTCAGCATCCATTGAAGTGGAGGCCTTAGAATTATATATTTTTGTTAAATAAAAGTCAAAGCATTTACATAATTAGTTAAAGTGCACTGTTTTATCCCACACGTTAATAGTTTATAAGTTTTAGATAATATTTTAGATTATGTATTGTATTAACTATATTATTGACCAAAAAAATTATATATTACATTGTATACGTCCTACAATCGATATTAAGGTCTTTATTGAGAGTAAATAAATTTTATTGTAATAATATTGCTATGTTTTTTATTTTAGATACCTGTACAGTACATGCAAAACTTTTGAATTTATCAACAAACTACATCTTCGGCCATACAGAATTTTAAAAGATATATTTTTCTTTGAAAAAGTTGTATAGATCTGATTCTAGTAAAATAGAAAAAACTTCTATACATTACGAAATCATTACCTTAAAAAACTTTCCCAATTTTGGAACCTCTGTTAAAATATACGCAAGTAAATGTAATCTAAATTAAAACTATTACAATTACAATAAACACCATATTATTCTATTGATAAATTTCTTCGCCGATCATCTATAATTTCTAGTGCTTGACAGTACCTCCAACTTTTTTCTCCTCATTACCATCACTGTGTCCTATTTCATTGTCACCATCGTAACTGTCATCAGCCTTCATATCATCAGGCCGATAGAATAAATTCTCTTCTGACGATACATTTCCAATAGATACCTTAGAATCATTATAATAGAGTATACAATTATTCGACGTTTCATACTCTTCCATATCTTTTGAGTACTTATTTTCCGCTTCACCTGGTGTATAGAATGGTTTATTTTCGGATATTATGGATAAATGTGGGTTAGGAGCAGTATAGTCTATGCAAGCATGTTCCCTTTCTGGTGTTTCCACTAAATCTGATAGAATGTCGTCATGGACGGAATACGGTCGGTGTGACGGCAACGTCATGAATGATCCAGCCACGGATGTTGAAGATACTGTCATCAAACCTGTAGAACCAACAAGTTAAGAATATTTTTATTATGTTAAATACAAAAGAGGTATTTCTACTGAATTTACGTGGAGCTGACTATAAAAACTTTATAACAAAGGTATATCGAATACGGGCAATGAAAATTTAAAAGATTAAATAAACTATTTGGACTTACGTCTCTCATACATAGCCGTGGACAATTCAACGTCTGGATCCTGATAAAAAACAACAAGATGAAAAAAATTATCTATGAATATACTAAAGTAATACTTCCTAAATGGGAATCAAGGACTAAAATCATAAATCAAGATTTTTTACCTCGGTCCAGTTTGTAGAACTCTTAGATAGTGCTTCTTCAGATAACGTTGGCGGTGGATAGACTGATTCATAAGGATTGGGAGGAGGTACAACTTTAGGGTCTACCAGGGTGACCACCTTGTCGGCAGGTTTCGTTTCTTTACGCTTTCCCAATTTACAGTCTCGTCTCACACCGTAGGCTCTATAGGTAGTCTGTAGACAAAGAAAGAAAAAAAAAAAATGTAACTTAACGACGGCAAAAACAGGGCAATAATGTTCCACTAAAAATCGGGATACAAATTTAAACAAGACCCCAATTTGAACCAGTTAACAAATAATATTGATAAACAACTGCAACTCGTTGTATAAACGAGAGAAGGACCCCCTAAGGTCAGGAAGAGGTGACGAACATAGTTTGATACACCCTTCCTAAGCATTCTCATGTTCATACCTGTATTTTCCGCGCCATTATCTCGTACTTAATTTCATTAGCTGATGCTGCCTGTCTGTACAGGTCCAAAGTATGCTTAGCAGCGCACTTCACACTGTCAGCCTCTGATTCCGATGATGACTGGAAATTATAAGAAATAATAAGAGTGTGTAATTTTTTTAACTTTAGCCCACACTAGGATTTTTGATTTTTAGGATTTTTGAGATAAGTTTGTCATCTACTCACAACATCTCCTGTGTTGTGGGTGGATGTCATGACAAACATACAATTTCATATACACATGATGTATGTGAAATTGTACCCGAAACAATTTTTGGATAACACAAAGTGTTGTTTGGTGCGGGAACCGAACCCGCGATATGTTGCACGGCAGCCGGTTACTGCACCAACCATGCAGTCGTTTTTAGACTTTATTTATAGTTATACGCATCCTACCTCATGACAACGAGGATGAAGATAATTTATTTGATGCCTTAAGCTAGTTATTTTATTCAGGTAATTTTAAGGTGTAAATATTTTAGTTTTAAGTGATTTATGTTTGTAACTAGCCAATCGCGCAAACTTCGTACAGCCCACAATTTCTTCCTCACCTTTTAAACCTTCCCTGGACTTCCAGGAACATTTTAATACCGGAGTTAGCCAAATCGGTTCGGCCGTTCTTGAATTGTAGAAGACTAATGAACGGAAATTCATTTTTATTTATATAGATATATTAATATTATAGTTTTTCTTCATATAGACAAGTTGAATGTTGCAAATTAATAAGTAATAGTAGTTACATATTACTACTGCTTTTCAAAGAGATACTTGTTTGTGCTAAACCGAGTATAATGCAAGACATCTTATATGGAATTGTTCTCAGTATTTGGCAATAGACTAAGAATATTACTGGCAGAAAATGTGTATCTACCAGTGTAGGTATACATCTATAGGTAGCTATCTAGATACACATATATATATATATATAGATAGGTGGAGACTGGCTGACAAGAGATTTGTTTACTAAAATATAATTTTGGCATAAGGCTCTAAACAAAACGTATCAATTCTATGACTAAATCAATATGAGAATAGATTAATCTTAATGTTCTAAGCAATGTTACGTTACCATTAACCACCAAATAACAAGTGAAACAAGTGAATTTATTTCAGCAAATAGGCTACAAGGCAGCACTTTTACACGTCAATTTTATTAAGCGAACGATGAGGTCGACATTTCCTAACTGACTACTTTGAGAAGAAATTCCGAAACAAACACAAACTTATCTCTTTTAAGTCTAGACAAATATGACTGACTAGGTGTCCTTACCTCGAAAATAGTAGACTTTTGCGCCTGACGCCTCATGAACGCGTTGCGGATGGCTTCCTGAACTGCTGGTATCATATCCTCGTCTATACTGGTCTTATTCACTAGTCTCTTGAGGAGACTGGACTCTTTAACTGTCAGGGTTTAAAGTTAATTGCATTTTAAACAGTATTTTTTCTTAGTAAAGGTTCAAAATTAAAAGTTGCCAATTTTTAATACCATAACTTAAGCAACGGCTCGCAGTAAAAATTGTTACTACCGATAGTACAATGAAAAATAGATACATAGAGATGTTATTTAACACATAGGAGTCTAGACTCAAAATGAGTAAATATCCAGATTAAATACTACGACAACGAATTGTTCATGGAGCCATCCAAAATGTCCCCGTTGTTGAAGTCTCAGTTCAGTTTTAAGGTCCAACTCTAGCATCAACCCGAAAATGTCTTATTTAGCAGGCTGTTTAAGCAAAGCGAGGTTATCTTTTATTTCCTCGTTATCCTACATAAGAGGCAACTCACCTTGGTCTTTGGCAAAATATTTGACAATGATTTTTATTACAGTTTCTATATCCGACTCGGGCACGCCTATTCGTTTCAGTTCAGTTTCCAATTCTAGTTCACATCTACAATTTGATAAGTCTTCGCAAATCTGTCCAGCAACGGATAAGTTGTCTCGCGTTACTAACATTGCTGCCAGGTAGTCGGTTATGAATTTGTAGAGGTCTCTTGGTTGGTATCTTAGGACCTAAAGATAATCAATATCTACTAAATACTGTCGTTGGTCTGCTACAGCTACAGTTCGAGGCAATTTTATGCCTGATTTAACTTCAAATATTGAATTGCATATTATTACCAAATTTTCGAAATTCTGTTAGACGACTTCAGCAAATGAAATTCCTTGATTGTCAATTTGGTCACGGATTAAAGTAGACCTAAAAAACTAGTAATGAGTAAAATGGTTTTGGATCATACCTCTCTAGAAATATCACTCATAAGTTCTCTCAAACCATTAGGGAGAGCAATCTTGCAGCTATCCTTAATTTGTGGGAACACTAAATCATCCATTCTTGTATTTATAATCAGTTTATTGAAATAAATGACAATGCCAAATATAAGACAAACATAATTCTAGTGAGTCATGACACTAAAGTAAAAACAAATCTATTGTTTCATGCACTTGAAATTTCAATTTTCATTTCTAAAACAACCAAAGGTTTTGTTTAAACAGTTGACACAGACACAAACACTGACACAAAATTTAGTAAACAAAATTATACGCTTTGCTGCTAAATATAAAGGTGATAATCATTCGTTTTCATCGTCGATGGTGCGAGCTGATGTAACTGTTTCTCCTGAAAGAGAAAAGGTCAAATTAGAATAGAAACATCGGTTAATTAACTTTGGCCGTAAGACTAAAAGATCTGAAGGACTAGGCTGAGTTCCAACTATAAAGAAAGGTAATGATGACGATGATTATGATAATAAAGAGGTTTGTAGATTCACGAAAATGTTTGAGCTCTTACAATTCTAGATAGAAATGTACTTTAGGTATGTCATAACCACGACAAAAGGTGTACACATGTATTACCTATCTTATTATTAAACTTAGACACCAAAGTCTTCATTACATTGTCTTCATCATTGTTTAGTGTAATAGGCTTAGATTTCGTATCTGTTTCTATCTTATCATTAACTTACAAGTTTACTTCCTTGTCTTTATCTTATTTTCTCACGATCACTATTGATATTGACTATATTGTTATTTTCCATCTAATTACAAACTGCACTGTAATTTAGTTACAAAGTAACTATCAATTAAAACTCTTTCTTTATGGTGTTTGTAAAATAGATACCCATAACGAAGATGAGAGGTGAAGGAAGGTAAAGGAACTTCCTGAAGTTTTTATACAATATTTTATTCTGCAAAACTCATGGTAGCCCAACCATGGGTTTCTCAGACTCAAATCCCATGTACTATCTTAAACCCTTTGATTTAATCGATACAAAGCTACAAAATCACGCGTTTAGAGCATTCGAATTATTTATAAAGCCCTTAACAATGATCTAATGACAATATTTCTAAAGAATTTCCTCATTACGGTAATAATAATGAAATAACTAAGACAAAACTTGCCCGCCAGTTCTTCGGGTATTTCGAAAGCCACTGGTGGTTCAGGTATTTGGGAATTTATTTCAGTAATATTCTCAGGTAATTCCATATCTTCATCATCAGGAGTCTTTATGATCAGCGGAGGAGCCTAGATAGTAAATGATGATGATAGAATCAACTTTAGCGTAAAAATGTACGATAAATTATCAGACGCGATGTTTTGAAAATTTTTGATAACTGACCTCAGCAAATGAAATCCTCTGGCTGCTCATCGGGCCAGGAATCGGAGTAGCTTTTGTTTTTTCCATGTCGGACATTATTGAATAATCTGTAATTGCAAAATAATATTTTAAATGTATGTTCTAATCGTAACTTAACCTCAAGTTAAAACCTTTTCTTTTAAATGTACGAATCACAAAGATATAATTTTTTTTTAAGTCATTACTCGCACTTTGCTTTGGATGAGGGTATATTTTCTTTATTTAAAATATTTGTCAGATCTCCTTCATTTTATAAGAGTAGTAATGATTACAAACCCTCAGTAGCAGTAACACTCGGCTTCGATAATGTCATTTCCAAAACGGCAAACGATTGCTCTTTAATTCTAGCTTTATGAGTCTTTAGAAACTCATCATCATCAGCATGGGTGATGGTCTTCATAGGGTCATATTGAAGACCAAGCTTCTGACCTTTTTCATCTTCAAACATTCCAGTGACATCATCTTCTTTGATTTTAATATTCTAAAACAGTTTTGATTGACTAAATGCTTTTTACTTGTAAAAATCTTATCTCGATTCTTCTAAATCAACGAATACACTTATTCATATGCTCATAAATGAGTTTATTAGCTTACTACGACAGGTCCTAGATCTACTTCCCTGGAGCTAGCGACATCTAGCGGTGGACCTGGCATCTCCACCCTGCGATTCTTCTTCTTCTTCTTCTTATTAGGCATGAGATGCTTCAGCACATTCCTACGTACATGGTACCCTCTGTAAGCAGCCTAAAAATTAAACAGAACATAATTTTTAGTTTATTCAATGCGCCGGCTTCACAAATATAGACGTATGAATATACGAAACTATGTAAACCGTTGATCAGAAAATTAGTAAAATGTTTCATACATAAAATCATTACTAAGTCAAAGTCAAAGTCAAAATCATGTATTTCAATTAGACCAGGAAGGCACTTTTGAACGTCACAACAAAATATTTAAATATTAAATAATAAGAAAAAAATGTCGGTCTGTAGGTCAGTCCTTTAGTGAAGCTATTTGCTCGTTCCAAAGTGTAGATTCCTATGGAGAAGAACGAGCAAGAAACTCCATAGGTTACTCTTTTTTTCAATCATGTTCACAATACAATTTTTGGTTACATTCTTTCGTTGAGTTCACTGTGAGTGAGTACTGTTTGTTGTATCATCTTTCTTGATCTTTCTTGACAATTAAATTATGATAATGTATATTATCATAATTTGATTTTTTTGATAGTGTTATTTTAAGTGTACCTGAATCTTCGCCGTAGCTCGATGAAGTTCGCTAATAGACGGCTTCGTCTTCTTGTAAAGTTCCAGTGTGTGCTGAGCTGCCTTCTCCCACGCTTCTTCTGGCGTCGTCTTAAGGCCCTGGCGATGAAACAGAAATATTTTATGCATTATTAAGTACCCAACGTTATTCTTCGGTGTGGAATAAAAGCAATAAGTTACTGAAAGATATTTGACAGAGTGATACCACGGCTGTACAGAAAACCGACGTAAAACCACGCTTGCCCTGTGAGTGAGGTTACAGGAAGGCCAATTATCCCCCCTCCCTCCCCAATCTCTGCAATCCTCGGATCTCCAAATCCCCAAGAATGCTCAAATTCTTAATCCTCAAAAGGCCGGCAACATACTTGGAACGCCTCTGGTGTTTCGGGCGGCGTCGATTGCATACCATCAGGACGGATCATCGTCATCTGCTCGTTTACCGGCTTATCCCATAAAAAGCTATTGAAATATATATAACTTTTACAGTTACACAATATTTAAGAAGTACCCAGTAATTACATATCGGGACACTTTTTTTTTGCAATTCTAGGCTTTATTTAGTTTACCTTCTGCATCAAATTCTTCCTATACCAATAGTCGCGGTAAGTATTCCTTGCTATCTGGCATACTTTGGCTGACATCTCTTCATTGAGAGGGTAACGATTAAGGATTTTCTTCAAAATAGCCTGCTCCTTCACCTTTTCTGTAAAATAAATATCCAGAAATGCAAAATGCTCAAGTATTCATTCATTCAACTATTTAAACTTCATTGACAAAATTGTCATAATAGTGAAGTAACTTATATTTTTTAATTAAGTATTTCAAAAATTCAAGATAATGGATTTATCGTATACAATGAAGATATTAAATCGTGTTGCTATACTTGGGACGTGACTCCAATGCTTGATGTCGATGAAAGAATCGATGTTGCAAGACGAGATTACGTAAACTTTCGAAGCCTAGTCTGCATGCAAATATAACATTATCATTTTATTGCGACGTTAAACTCTAGATGTGGAAACAAGCGCAACAAATTTACCTAAATATTATCTATGTAAAATGTGCAATTTTGAAAAATGTGTAGCTACGTACATAACGTGAAAATCATCAATTTCATGATTAAGTATGATTTAGCACGTTTATGTAGGCCTTAAAACTCAGTCAAAACGATTGTTTCGTCTAAATAAAACAAATAAGATTATGAATTACATGACTATACATCACATGTAAAGAGAAGTGCCTACGTTTGTACTCGTCTTTCATAAATGTGTTTGTGATTCGCTCTAAACTCGATAGACCTCTAAAATACGATAATATTTTAATTGATTACAATATATCGGTGATTTATTTATGATGATTTGGTATATCATAAAATTAAAAATGTAATCCTCTTCGAGCAAAAGCATTAAAATCGGACTCCCTTAAATTGCAGACAAAAAATTTTATGAACCGTGAAAAAATATTATATTAAGACGTTTCATACCCTTTCCTTCAAGGGGCTTGGATGCCTCAATTTCATGCTTGATAATGGTAGCTAAATCTGTAGCTTCATCTCTATCCAGACCGATTTGCAGCAGATGCTCTGATACAGTTGGGTGACAGTCGCAGAGCTCGTCTAGTATCTTGACCGCCATGATCCCGTGCTCGCGTGTGATCAGTAACGCTGCTAGGTAGTTGGCGATGAAGTCTAGCATTTTTGCTGGTTGCCAGCGTAGCACCTGTGTATGACGATTTAACAGAGAAAGAGTAGTCCTCTGTCTCCTAAACTATTATGGTGTTGTGGGTGTCATTGAGCTGTGTTGATTGCTTATCTTAAAGCAACCCATCTGTGAGGATAGTCAGTAGTGCGCCCGAATAGTTGCCTGTAAGCACATCTACTTTGAACTGCTCTGAAGTAAATGTGCAGTATAACCTCCATCCGGTATATAAATTATTATCTACATGTAAAAGATGAAGATAGGACTCAGTTGTTTGTAGCTCAAAGTTCAATTGGCTTAACTACAGTTTACTAAAGGAAAGGAAGTAGTACCTCACGTGTGATATCGGACATGAGCTCCTTGAGACCTTCGGGGACGGTGAACACGTTGGAACATCCATGCTTCTGCAGCAACTCATTCATTTCATTATTTTCTCTGCAACAACTTTTCTTGTTGACAATCTGACAATTATTCTTGACTGTTCTGTGACTTTATTTTTTTTATTTTATTTTTAAAGAGGATTTATTTGTGTCAAGCGGTCACCGGTGACAGCTCTCCACTTGCTTCATTATAGACCTTATTTCCGATGTTTAGAGACTGCTTTTATATGAACAAATGTTATGGATTTTTCATAACCGCGGAATGAAGTTAAATCTTTCATTTCATTCATTGATATTGATTTATTTTATTACAGTGGTTTTTATTATTTATCTTTCTCCAGTAGGAGTTTTAATTTAGTGTTTTAAGATCTTGTAATGGCATAATATTAACCTCCTGAAGAAAAAGAACTGCAGTAGCAGCGCGACAGTCGCCGCGTTGCGGGTCGCGGAATGGTGCTCTTGAATATGAACCTCTAGCATGGCTTGAAACTAGACGAGTTCCTTGTGAAATAATTACGTGAATAAACCGAAAAACATAATAATTAAAAAACTGCGTGTAGTGAACCTACTTCTCTGAGAAAGACCTGACAATTTACAAAGTAAAATCTATTAAAGTTACGTTAAACCAGGAAGAGAATCGATAACCTTTACAACACAGCGATATTTTTATTGAATGATTCACTTTACGTTCTTATCAGTAAGTTGAGTAAATTCTCCGTAAATATCTAAATATTAAACATTTGCTTATTCTTTCAACGGTAAGATTAAGTAATCTACTAAGTTAAATAATATTTTGAATTTTAAATTTTATATCATAATAATTATGCTGACAGAGGACATACGGCTGTTACTGAAGCTCGATAGATGGCGTTGGCATAGTTGGCCGTTAGCACAACTGCGTTGCGGCTGCTATGGTAGGAGAGATTTCGGGTTCGATTCTCGATTCAAGTTAAGGCAAAGTAGTATTGAAATCCAGTACTAAAATAATATAGTCTAGGCCAGTGGAAGTTTCTTTACGTTCTCTATTACATGGAATTTCTAAACTGGTAATTAACCCTACATTAATTCATAACGTACCTACCTACTCCTCTGTTTATCTCTTGGGTTAATAAAAGGCGTGTTGTTATCTCTTTAAACTATCTTGTATTGTTTTCCGCGTGAAATTAATCGTGGGATGGAAGTCGGCCACAACGAAGTGCCAAAATAAGAAACAGTATGTCTGACGTAACCTCATAAACTACTGAACCGGTTTCGAAAATATGCTTTTTGTTATATCAATCTGATGAAGATAGATATTATTATATCTTTCATAGTTAACTGAGTTTCCTACTCAAATACTGAGCGTAGATTAGTGTTTTATTTACTCACACTATCAATTACTAGGAAAGTAAATACGGGAATTATTTACCTGAGTTCAGCTGATTATACATACTTACATAATAATAAATATGTAGGCTTTCTCTTAAGTTTTTTTTTTATAATTTCATTTTAATGCTGCGGCACGTAGATGTCGTAGGTCAATAGTTACGTATTTGTATGTCATAACAACGAAATAATACATTTAAATAAAAACATTTACTCATCAAACGCTTCATTATTCTTTGTTAAGTACCAAAAAACGTTGACCCATCAAAAACGTAGCATAATCTCTTGAACGTTCGTGTGAATCATCACTGCAGAGGGGCAGGGTAGATCAGCTGTAATTGGTCAACACTTTCGTATGACTAATTACATTTACGCCGAACCAACTAGAAACTTATCAAAATTGAACTTTATGTCCTAGGAGTAAGAATGATACGTTTATTGATGGGTTGTAATTTTTAAGTTTGTTCGGGTGTTCACTGATTATACCGAGCCATTGGTAGTGGGTGCTTGTAAAAGTGCGGTGGTGTGTCGCGATACAGGACAATCTGTCTGTTTTTATTGATAAACATATGTAAATATTACATCTGATAAAGTTTTTAGTGTCGCTGCGACACATGTGTTCCATTGCACGATTTAAAAATAATCTTACCGACATTTTATGTGAGAATACCAGTTTGTGAGTGGACGAATTTTAAACATTTTAAAACTAAAGAAATGAGATGACATGTTGGAAATGAACAAGAAGGTTAACGAATAATTACAAACAAACAAACAAAGAAAGAAATAAACGAAGTCGAACAAAGGAAAGATAAACAAAACAAAGAAAACAATTTGACTGAAGGTAAAACAATAATTGAGCAAGATGGACATCACTACAGCACGGGCGATATCCATGCTCACATTGGGCTTAGGAGCATTCTTCTCTGGAATGCTACCAGCATGTTTCTCAGAGGCAGCAAGACAGAGGCACCCACTCCTGCTATCCTGTCTTCTCTGCTTTGGAGGAGGAGTCCTTTTATCGACCTCCTTAGTCCACATGCTCCCAGAAACAAGAGAACGGTTACCGCAATACTCCGAACTCACACTATGTATCGGTTTCTTTACCGTATACTTGGTGGATGAACTGTCCCATCTTTTCTATAGAAGTGGGAATCATGAGAGGCATAACCCTGTTGGTGAACAGACAAGGTTGTTGCCAAGAGACCATGACGGAGAGATGAGGGAGAGAGAAGGAACTTCAGATCTGTGTCATGTGAGCCATGCAGAGCCTTGCAATAGGAATTCCTCGAGTATCGTGGGTTTGTTGTCTGCGTTGTTCGTCCACAGTGTGCTTGAAGGACTGGCTATTGGACTACAGGAAAGTCCTACACAGGTAAGTTTGAAATCATTATTAATTATTCGCGTATCATTATTTTGTCATCTTTCGTTTTCCGATGTTATTTGAATCATTATGTTAGTTAAATTATTGTGGTATCTATTTAAAGTTATGCTTAAAATTACGTCATAACTGACTTTAAATTATTAGTAGGTAAATCTTCTTTTACTTTGTATCGTTATGATACATACTGAACTCCAAAATTCTTATACATAATTTGACTGTGTCTAGAATCGAACCAAAGCCCTTTGCTTGCAAGTGATGTCCAACCACTTGATTAACAAGACAGTCATGACTTCAGGCGCCGTTGATTAAAAATAATGGAATTTAGCACTAAAGGACTTTTCTTTTGTTTCGATGATTCAGAACAATTAAAACCAAAGTTCACGGACAGCCATGTTGATAAACATTTAGGTCTACATTAGGTCACTCTGACTGAGTCATCCTACTTTGGATGAAAAATTATGTGACAAGTGTAAAGTAGAATTTATTGCGTTAATATAGGGTTTAATTTCGAAATGTCACTGACATTTTGCAATTACATCACACTAGTATTTATGAACATTTTACAGCGAATTTTAAATAACAATTTTAGTGTAATAGCGTTCAATTTCGCATATAACATACAAATTATATTTTAGAAACATACTCGAATCATTGGCGGTAAGTAAATTGTTATGATTTGTTGTTGTAGGTAGCCATTGTTATGATATGCTTCAGACAACATGTTTGAACGCAGTGTCACGCCATTTTGAAAACACAATCCCTGACATACGGGTTTTTAAATTGAGGAAAATATGTACGCGATGCTCTTGCTCAGAACTGAACTTTCACGTCGATGATTGTGTAAATGTTAAATGTTATAATATGTCCAATGGTTTAACAGATTCATATATTGAAATATGTATCAGAGACATTGTAGAACATACTTTTTTAAAAGAGTAACGAATGGAGTTTCTTGCCCGTTCTTCTCCATTCGAATCTACGTTTTGGAATGAGCACCTAGCTTCACCTAGCTTCACTGACGGACTGACTGGCAGACTATTATTTATTTTGTATTTGTTGACGTTTCAAAAGTACCAAACTATGGTTTAATTGAAATAAATGCTTTGACTTTGACTTTGACATATAAAATGAAAAGACTAAGTATTTAATTATCAAATTCCTCATTGGCCGAGTGGTCGCAAATGTGACTGCCGGGCAAGGGGTCTGGGGTTCAATTTCCGGGTCGGGCAAAGTATTACTGGGTTTGTAAAAACCTCAGTAGTAGCATGGAGTCTAGAAATGTGCCCGGTATATGGCAATAATCTAACCTCCTATTGGTACATGGGACTTTTAACATAAATAGTGAAAAGTCGGTGTACAGTGGCATTAAGTGCCGTAATGGTCACCTCTGCCCCTTCGGTGATAAAAGGCGTGATGTTATGTTATGATATAAAAGATCTAATTGCAGGAATACTTACTTGGTACAAGCAAAGTATAGTGATGACTAGTAATGAGTATTGCATTGACCTCTCCAGAGTCAGATAGCATATTTTAAAAATAAACTGTATCCTTCCTTCATTTACTGATAAATGTTTAAATACTAGCAGAGGAATATATTAATATAAAAACATAGGCTTCGTGAGCGGTGACTGACAGTTCACTGCTGGACATGCATGGGTGAAAGGGTTTGCCATAATCTCTCCACGCTTGACAAAATTGGTGTTTAACACGTTAACCGCCGCGAAGGTCACCGGTGACCTACGTTAGCGGAGGATTTGCCTTCAGCAGTTTTCTGTTGGCAGTCAAAGACTTAAAATAAACAGGACTCGGTTCTCAAAGAGTGTTGCTACCTCATCTTTGCCAAATGTATGCTATCCTATCGCCACTTCACGGTTAAAATAATAAGCCTATCTACATGTGTTAAAAATTGTTTCCTAAGAAGCGTTCGATAACCGTTCATTATTATTTTTAATTTGAATAATAAATAAATCTCTTACCGCCGTACTCAGAATAATTTAATGTTTATTTAACCCAGTTTTTACCTTAGCAATTGCTTTCGGAACAAAATTGTTAATGATTTTAGTCTCACGGTGACCGTCAGCACTCATAGCTCAGCGCGTAGTTTGACAGACGACGACCAGACCGTAGCTTTATCCGTCAGTGCTGACCGACGCACGCGTTATTCTAAAACGCTTTATAGAAGTTCATTCGTTTCGGCTGTCAGCGCTGACGATCAGCGTGCGGTCAGCGTGACTCTAAAACCAGGTTAAAGAATAGTTTAATGAGTCATTATATATATGACTCTGAGTACGGCCACTATATAGTCATTAAACATTAAATAAATTCCGGAACTATCTTTGCATTCGCAACGCAATGTCAAACACCGTAAATCTACAATCTACAATCGCGACCGACAATGAAAAATTCGAAAATAAATAATTTATAAGTCGGTTATAATATAAAATGCTTCATAACAGACAACAACAAAGGAAGTTAATATAAGCTTATCTTTATTCTATAAATACCAGCGACCCGTGGGTTTAAAGGTGAGCTCTCGAGTGAAAGGGACACGGCCACACCTATAGAGAACTGCAAAGGTATCACGGCTAATCTAAAGTCCTATTTAATCTTAAACTTCGTTTAGTTTGGCAAACTGGATGATGATCTTAATAGAGGTAGTCACGAGATAGTAAACATGTTGATCGATTCCTCCAAATTAGGGAGATTTACTGTGAGTTTTCGCCTTTTCGAAAACTAGTACTGGCACGGAAACAACACGTAATTCTGGACTCCGTGACAGTACTTCTAAATTGGGTCTAGAATTCGACATTTCAAAAATTACTGCTAAATCACTATTTGCAGACTAACAAAAGGAAGCATATGAGCATATCAGTAATTTTAACTCGCGGAGTACCGTCATTATAGACACAATTAAAGAACAATAGGTTGCGGTCACCGGTGTCCTCGCGGTGTTTGACAGTTTAACACAATTCTATACTATCGAAAAGTATTTGTAAACAAGCAAGATAGTGTATAAAGAATTAAAATTTTGGCAGTCAATGCACTGATACACGACTGCAACCGGTTTGATGTGTATGATGACGCTCGGACAAATAAATAAGTAATGCAGAACCACTTTTTGCAACCTTTATTTTGTTAAGGTTACCTTTGCGGAATATAAACGTACACAAAGATATGTAAGGTGGTGTCTAAAATAAAAAAAATATCAATCTTGCCTTTGTTTGTTGGGTTATTGGGTGGCTGCAACGGCGACTGCTGAGGAAGAGGCCGACTGCTTAGTTCTAGATCTACCCAGGAATCGAACGCCCCATCTTACGGACGCTTACTTAAATATATCAATAAGTCAGTAGGTTCATGTTTATTTACTGTCTACATAAACATATACAACAATTTTATTACAATAACGCTATCTTGCAACATTTTATCTACAACAATAATTATTTGGTCTTTATTTTCGTCTGGTAGGTTTCCTAAGGAGCCTTATCATTTGACCTACATTCTGTGATACAATCCTCTTACGATAAGCAATAGTACCTCCGTTACGAATCGTTACTCCGTTATAATAACAAATAATAATCTGAACCTTATGTAGTGTGATCTTCAGTCCGTCTACAAAGCGTGAAAACCAATGATGTTATAAATTGAAAGGCGTAGATAGGTTATAAGCGCACAGATAGTGGCACATTAAAAGATGGCTAACTAGCTTTTACCTGCGGCTTTGCCATCTTATTTTTTGTTTTATCCAATGGGAGTAGTACACACGGCTACCCATCGAGGTTCACATAACCAGTATAAACTTAACGTTGAATGTGCTGAAAGATGATGCGACGTAACACCAGGATAAACTGGTTTTGTATAGATTGATGTGTGGCCGTGTGTACCTACTTATTTTTCGCAGATTTTCTACTTAAACTATTTATTTCTATTTGTATTCTATTTGTTGCTACACATTGTGTCACTATATTATTATTACTTTTCCTGCTCCAGGTCCACAGGAAGAAATTCCAATAGGAATAGGTGGTACCTTTGTACTTTAATTTTATGTATGTGTTGTCCTTTATGTTGTATGTGTGTACATAAATAAATAATAAATAAATAAATAAATAAACCCTAAGGTACGTAGACTATACTGGTACGTACGACGTAGCTTGACTGGTAGAGATTGCCATAAATGGCATTAACTTCGCCTTATGTGCCATTGTGTAATCACATTGTGTACATGAAAGAAAAATAAATAAATAAAAAAGTAGTAATACTAAGTTACTTTTTGCTTTTATTTCTTACATATTAAAATTTTGACCAATTAATGTTTCGTTTCGAGAGCTTGTCTGTGTATTTAACACCCTTTTAAAATCGCACAATTGCAATTGCAACTGCTGAATCAGAGCCTTGTGTTATATAAGTTTCTTATGTTAAATAATTAGCAAGAGTAACCTACCTAAATAGGTACCTAAATAGCAAATGCTAGATGTTGTATAAATTCATATCACTGACAAGGTAACATACCTATGTACTTGATTTACAAAGTTATTGACAAATCATTATATATAATTATCATTTCGTGCAATTGTGTAATAAATACAATTAACACATACTTAGTTGCTCACGTGATATTTTCCTTGTCAATATACATAATACATAATAAAGGTCGTCTATATGTGTAGATATGTTAAATAACTATATATGTTACCCACATAGGTTAATATAATAATAATAAATTACAACATATATATAATAATGTTAAGAATATTAAGTACTAAATTAATTAAATTGCAATCTATTTTTAAATATATATTCCTATGTTTTATTCATGGCAAAATAACGCCTTTCAAAAATAAAATTTGTAAAAAATGTTAATCGATGTGGCATCTGATTTAAAATGTAAAACTAATTAATTTTTTAGGAAGGTAAATGTGGCTTACGTACCTACGGAGGCAATTTTTTTTATCAGATTCAGTATCAATTTTAGATCTATCAAAACCCAAAAAGTG